AATGGGCAAAAGTGGAATGCTGGTCAGAGACCGAAAACCCCAAAGTTAAACAATGAAGCCCTGGAAACTTTGGCAAACAAAGCTCTCAGGATCAGGGAAGGTACTCACAAACAAGCTGAGATTCCCAGCCCTGCCTGGGAGAGTGGCTCTGAATGGGGGTCGGGGGTGGGGGGGTTGCTTGTTTTTATCAAGGAAGCTGAGTTTTCTTCTCCCCACCCCCACCTTCTAGTAGTGCTAACACTGGGACTTGAACCACTACACTACATCCACAGACACCCCCCTGTGGGTCTCTTAGTAGTTCATTTGGAGAGCCAAAACCACCTTCCACCTCAACTAAAAGCCAGGATACACCCTCCACACCACCTCTGTAAAGCTCTTCACAAAAGAATCTTTCATTAGACTGTTCTCTGCAACAGACAAATCCTACTTTGCAATCTTCCCTTTGGATCTCCTGAGCTAGAACTGGCCACAGGGCGAGGGGTTGGGGGAGAAACGGCCCAAAGTTTTCATTCCGAAAGATCAAAGGAGGTGCTTTGTACCAGGAAACCTAATTCCAAATCCTCATTTCCAGGAATAAAGCCACAGTGCCCAAAACTTGCTTGGGAAAATAACACAGAAGACTGTGGATTCCAATTAAAATCCCGGACGGTTTCCTTTCCCAGCCTCCTGGTCTAATGTTGTTAATACTTTAGCCAGGGACGGCTCTAACTCGAACAGCACCCCCAGCCCTGAATGGTCACTTCACCACTGGGTTAAAAACGCAAAAGCACCTAAGGCTTCATGACTGCATTCTGTGCCCCATCGCAGGGACTGGATACCCAAAACAAAGTGACAGTGATCGGTGCCAGCTGCAGCACAGCCCATGTCTTTCAGGAGAAACCCTGGCAAAGCCCAAGCCGTTCGTACACTCGTGAGAGTGGGCATGAGGGCATAAGGAGCAGAAACCAGAGAAGGGTACTATCTCAGCCTTACTCAGTATAACAATCAGTTTCAAACTGATTACCTGTGGGTTTTGTCAACCAGCCAATCATGTCTCCTTCATGCAAGGAAGCAGGCTATGGGCTACAGTCAGCAAAATGCAGTGAAATACCCACCCCCCCAAGTAATCATTATGCTAATTATTATGTTTAATTGTCTTTATCATAAAAATATGTGTCATGTATGTAGCTAAACTGAAATCAGCACCCATCAAAAAGCCTGGATGTCACTAATAGTGTGACCTTCTCCGTCCTTACCCCAGATGTCTACAGTATACACATACCAGACAATCACTATCCTGCACTTACGGGTTTTTTTTATAAGGAGGAGTCTGTCTTCATGTGTGCCTTGTTTCCTAACCAATGAGCTGGTTTCTCCATACAGCAGCAATACACTGCTTCTTTTCTTAAATGTTTTCTTTAAGTTATTGTTATTTTTTAATTAAAAAAAAAAACATTTGCTGCTTTAAAGAAAAGTATTCAAGGGTGCTGGAAAAAAAATGGCTCAGCAGTTAAGAGCACTGGCTGCTCTTCCAGAGGACTGGGGTTCTATTCCCAGCGTCTACACAGGAGCTAACAAGGGTCTGTAACTCCAGTTCCAGGGGACACAACACCCTCTTCTGGCCTGCCCAGGCACTGCACATAGCACACAGATACACAGGCAAAAGACCCATGAACACAAAATAAAAATGAGTAAATCTAAAACAAGAAGCACGGTATTAGATAATTAAAGATAAGTGAGACTTAGTGAGGGCAAACAAGCTTGGCAGCCACTGGCAACTATGGCCTGGATGGTTCTGTTCTGGACCACTGAACCCTAAGTCATATCCCAACTCCACAGCCTAGACCTGCCAAGCCTCAGCTCCCTACTGGAGAAGAGCAAGTGTTAAAGAAGTGGTTGTACAGACCTGGGCACACAGCCTGACTCATACTCAGCCCATCCAATCATCCTGTCATTAACTCTACATGAACATAGCAAAGGCTCTGGCCCCGATTGGTGCCATACTTCTCCAGAATTCCTATTGGGCTGGACATGAGATTTGACCAGACAAAAATAAATCATGATAGAAGGAACCAAACAGCCAAGGCAAGCCACAGAGGAGCCATGAGATCCCAGCATTGATTCTTCCGTTAACTTGTGACCTTGGAGAGCAAGATCATTTTTCAAATCCATTCTTCCCTGTCTCTCCCTCTGCTCTACACACTCCTCCATCCAACCTTCAGAAATACCCAGAAGCCTATGGTGATCAGCATGGTCCAACCTCGGGAAGACAAGAAGCTTGGGTAAGATACCCTCCATCCACCAACTCAGTCGCTGTCACCGTTGCATGAGTACAGGAAGAAAACTTGGTAAATTACCAGTTTGGAGGGGAGGGCACTCATTACAATGCTATTAATCAAATTAAGTTCCTCACTCCTTGAACACATTACATTCCTGAATATGGCATTTTAACTCCGCATCCTTAATATTCTCTGTAATTACTTAGCAATTACAAGAAATTTATTCAGATTCAAGTGATCACTCTAGTCCAACGTGCAAAAGTTGTAAGACTATTATCTCAATCAAGTTTGATCTGAAACCACTCTCTGAAGCAAAGCTCAGCCATACAGCTGGGGAGAGAACATGAGTCCAGCACATGTTCACGCTGGCCCTTGCTCTTTGCAGTCTAGCTCACCATCACTCATCACCTTTGAGGACTCACATGTACAAGGGCAGCAGAGATGCTGTGACCCATTAGAAAATGACATCGACCCAAGACCCGGCTCAGCTTCAGAACAAAAAAAAAAAAAAAAAAAAAAAAAAGGAACCAAGTCACAAAACAAGGGATTCGATCTTAGAACGGTAATCCAGATCCTATCCAGACTTAAAATAACCTTGTGACCGCACTGTCTCCATGAGCGGCATGGGTGAGGCCTGGGTTTCATACTTAAGCACTGTGCCAACTGTAGAGCTGCATGGCAAGGCAGTGTCTGAGGTCAGCACAGGTCTAGTGTCTGCCGCCTGCCCAAGACTGGGCCCCCGGCCAGCAACCCACCTCCACAGATTAGTGCCAGGACATACTATAGTGTTTCCATTTAAGGCCCGCCACTTGGATGAGCCCATCTCTGAAGTTTCTTAACACCACCTTTCCAGGAAGAATTTTTTGGGGAAAAGGGAGGTGGTGTCTATTTTTTGCCACCGCCTTCCCTTGGGCTGTCAGAGCAGTCTGCCTCTCAGGAACAGGTTTCTTTAAAAATCACTGGGTTATGTCTCAATTTGGGGATTTATTTTTCAAAAATTATAGATCTATGCAAACATAAATACATATATATGTATATATATGTACACACACACACACACACACACACACATATATATATATATATATATATATATATATTTGCAATTACATTGAGCATGTATGGGACCAGAGACTTTCCCATCATCTCACACCAATCACACAAGCCGCAAAGAAGAAAAGCCAATAAAGGGAACAAATCCACTGCATTACCGTCCGCTTATCTCCAAAACACGAAATTAATGACAACTTTTTAACCAAGACTTTTCTTTCTCTACAAAATGGATGTTTTATTTCCCAAGTAGCTTCCTCCACAGCCCCTCTGACATGCAAGGGGCGTTCAGAGCTCCAGTGGATGAGCGAGGTAGGGAAGGGTGGGAGACGTTATCTGGCACAAACTGGACAGAGCCAAACCAGTGTCGGAACCAGACGGAAGTCCACGCACGCAGCGGCCCCCAAGGCCCACAATTCTCCCGAGCGCGCCCAAGGTTCTAGTCTCGCTGTTTTGGTTAGTGTTGAGAGAAGGGTTTTAAACTTGGCAAAGTACCGCGCAACATCTGTAACCACATCTGCCTTCTGGGGATCGGAAGATGAATCCCACATTCCTGGCTTTGAAGCTTTTTGAAACTGCAGCTAGGAAGGACAGAGGGAGGGAGGGAGGGAGTTGAACAGAGTTTATTGGCTGTCTCTCCAGCAGAAAATTCCTCTTGGAAGAGAAGGGTATTTTGAGGGTGGGGGTGACTCGCCAATCTCTTCGGTCTGCCAAGCTCAGCTTGGAAGGTGAGCCCGGGGCCGTGAGGCCAGATCGATGTGTAAGTCCGAGGCGCACAGCCTGCAGGAGTTCACCCCGCGAACACCCGAAACCCCTACTCCAAGCCTCTGCCTTCCCCGGATCCCACCGGCAGCCGAGGCCCTAAGCGAGACAGTTTCGTTCCACCGCGGCTTCCCCCAGTCGAGAGGGCACGCAGCTCGCCGGAGAAAGAATGAAAGCGAGGGGGAGGCACCGAGACGCCCACCCTCTACCTCCGATCCCGGCCTCGCCTCCGGCTAGGCTCCCTCCTCCCCCGGTTCCCCCCGGCTCCGGCGGCGCCGCCGGCGACTCGCCCTCACCTCTGGTCCAGCGGCGGCCGGGTGCTGAACCCGGGGAGGCGGAAAGCGCGAGGCTGTCGGGCGCTGCAGGGCGGCGCGGGAGGCGCGGGGCGGGGCGGGGCGCCGCAGCCGGCGTAGAGCCCGGAACTCCGCGGGCCGCGGGCGGACGGGCGGGTGGCCCGGGCGGCGGCAGAGCGCGGCGCGGCGCGGGGCGGGAGGCTGGCGGCCACCGGGCCGGGGCGCAGGCTGGCGGCAGGCACCGGGCTGGAGCCGCGGAGACGGCTGGCGCGGGGCGGGAGGCGGAGGGCGGGGACGAGGGAGGAGGAAACTTGCGGCGGTGCGGGGCTCGGCCGGGGGCGGCGGGGAGCCGGCGGCAGCAAAGTTCCCCCAGCGCTTGGGGGCGGCGGCGGCGGCGGCGGCGACCGGGAGCTGGAGCGGGAGGAGCGGGAGGAGGAGGAGGAGGAAGTGGCTGCGGAGAGCTCGGCCAATGAGTGTCTGGAGCTGTGATTAACCAGGCAGCAACACATCATTTCCTCCCGGCGCGGATCCAGGGAGCCGGGAGGGAGAGGGCCGGCGGCGGGGCGGGGCGCCCCTCGCGCCCCCTGCAGGCGCCCGGCCCCGGGGAGCCGGCCCTCCTAGCTATGCCCGCCCGCCGCCCCCGACCCCCCGATCCCTCGGGCCGCCCCGGCTGCGGGCTGCTGCGAGCCGGGCTGGCGGGACGCGGGGGAGGCGCACGGCGCGGCGCGGGGAGCGGCCAGGTAGGCGCGGGCGGGGCCGTCTGGACAGCTCCCGGGGCGCGGGGCGGGCGGGCGGGCAGGCGGCTGGCAGCCTAGCCGGGGACTGCGGGGGCTCCAGCACTCGTCTCCAGCCCTGCGTGTCAGGCAGAGGGGTGGATGTTCGATGCTCCGCCTCGGCCCAGGCCATCGCCGCCCTGCCTGCTGATCCCCTTCCACTCCGCTCATTTTCTCGCAGGGTCTGGGGTTATGCAAGCGTTTGCCATTTTTTTTTGCAGTCGGCTTCCTTGGTAATAAAAATAAGCAAGTGGGGGGGGGGGGCGGGGGTCTGCAATAATCCCGCCCTGTCCTAGGCGCCATGAGAGCTTACAGTAGGAAGAAAGGAACATTCCCCGCCGCAGAGAGGCTGACAACCTCGGTCCTTAGAAACACAAAAACACCCCCAGTGTGCTAATATTATCCGGGAGCATCAAAAAAGGCATGCAGGGATCAAATTTTGCATGGTGCCCGCTCAGTTTGTGGAAGCACCAAGCCATTTTCTCTGCCCTCTAGAAGCTTATAATGTACAGTCTTATCACAAAGCAGAGTAAAATCATCACACCAAGGAATGGGAAAACCATAAAGTATTTTTTTATCCCTACAGGTCCCTTCATTCAGAGGGCATTTATTGGGTCGCTGGCTGCAGCACTATAAGAAGGCTGCAAAGGAAATGGAAGATCCGGCCTTTGCAGGAGTTTGCAATCGAGCTAGCAACGCAGGCATACATACAAGGAACAGCTAGAAAATAGCCTTCGGGTGTTGTGTAAGCAAAAAGAGAGAGAAGGTGGTTGGTTCTTTTGTGTTTGGATTGTTCATTCCAGGGTTCTTGTAGTTATGTTTGGTGGAGATCAGGAGAGGAAACTCCAGGTCAGTGCAAGGCAAGAGCACCAATCTGCATCCCTCCTCACTGACAGAGCCCTTGGTGACACTTAGCTCAAGTATCAGCCTTTGCCACACACTGTTTTGACCTTGGACACACTTTGAATCCAAGAGGGGGAAACGGGAGACGGTGGTTGTCTCCCGAGTGCAGCTACCTCTTCAAGCTGCTGTGTGCTTCTATGGCTCCGAATGTTGACAGCCCCCTCCGTGAGGTCAGGCACCAGCTTTGAGTGAGTTTGTCATAAATCATCATGGCCAGCAGCGATGTATGTGTGAATGTTTAATAAAGGCTTACTGAAAGGTAGATAGGTGGACTGAGGAAGCTTGACCTGCTTTGGACAGCTAGTGCCCTATGTGTTGTTACTTGGCTAGCTCAGTGCAAGACCTTCAAACAACTCCCCGGGGGCTACTCGGTGTTCCAAGAGGCTGTGTGGAAGGATTCTGGGTAGTACGTGTGGCCTTGTACTGTATTTTGTGCGTGCATGTGTATGTGTAAAATAAAAGGACAGACTAGGACACAGGGTACAGCTCTCTGGCTGAGGCACCTTATTCTAGGATTTCTCAACCTTGGCACCATCGGTACTTTGAGCTGGAGAATTGGTTTGCCATTCTCCATGCTGAAATGTATTTAGCAACATCCTTGACTTGTACTCACTCGATTCTAGTAGGACAGCCCTCCTCTCACAACAGTGACAACCAGATGCCTCAGGAGTACACAATCGCCCTGTTGAGAATCACTACCTCCACCCCAAGAGCCAACCCACTGATTTAACCCTGGTGGAAAAGAAAAAAAAAATCACACCCTTAAAGTAACTTGGAGGAAATACATCTTCTGTCAGTCTAAGCTTCTCCAATCTCAGTCATATGTTGCAGGGAGCCTGACTTCTCTTAATTAACTGCCTGCTGCATTGTGGATTGGCATCTTCTCTGTTTTCTGCATATCCTCCTCCTTTACGCCCAGATCAACATGTTCATTTTTAAAAGTCAACAGATTTCAAAAACTATTAGGAAATAGGGTCTTGAGCAACCTAAGAGTCCTGTATGCTATTTTTCTGTAAAATGTGGAGAATTTATTTTGTAATATTTTTATAGACAGCTTCACTTTTAGAGTTGAGCTTTTAATCCTACAAACAATAACCACATCCTTTCTACCAAGATTGTAAATAATGCGCACCAGAAACTGTAGGGTTTTCTTTTTCCATTGAAAATATTTAGATATCTGAATTGAGTCCTTTGTATCTTGAAGCCATTTCCTGTTGGTTCCAGAGTTTATGTTTTATGAGGGGATAAAAGAACAGGTTTTATTTAAATGCATCAAGCAGATATCAGTCTGGCTAGACCTATCAACTTCCCAAAACAAATTCTCTAAAATAGTATCGGTGAGATGCTTCAGAGCTGGCAGTGTTGGTAAGGACCCTGGCAATGTGCTGCAGCTCAACCTCTAACGGGTTCAAGAGAAAGAGAGAAAGAAAGAGAAAAGAAAAGGAAGGAAGGAAGGAAGGAAGGAAGGAAGGAAGGAAGGAAGGAAGGAAGGAAGACAAGAAAGACAGGAACAAAAATTACCTCCTTTCAGGCAATGGTACCATGTTTGTGATGGGAATAGATATTTCTGCTCATCAAAATATTATCATCTATCTCATTAAAGAAAGTGATTTAGAACGTTGAGTTCATCGTTTTGTTCATGTTTAGCTTGGTTTTGTGGGCACATGGTGGTCACAGACATATGCAGATTAGCTGATATCTAGAGTAGTGACTATTCCCATGTTAGCTGCACACTGAGGCCTAGGAGAATGTTAGCTGGGCCTAGGAGAGCATTCACAGTGCCTAGGAGAAGAAGCCAGTTTAGTGGATTCTGTGTGGTTTGATGGACAGTGACTCTCCAGTTTCTGTAGTCAGACATGAGTGAGGACATTTACTCTTCTACCCCAGTCCCAAATTCTCTTAATCCAGGATTTGTGCCTTGGGTATAATTACAATGTTTGAAAGGAAAGTCAAACTAAAAAAATTAGTTAATATCATGCATATTCTGGACCACTGTCTGATGATGGTGATATTTTAATAAAAAATAGTAACATGGGCAATCCGTAGGCATTTTCTTCCTTCTAAAGGTGTCTGCACATCATTCAAGGATAAGGAAAAACTGATCCAGTTCATCATAGCTATTTTTGGAGAATGGTGAACTCAAAGGTTGAGATGTAAAGTTTAGTACTAATCTTGTGACAAAAAAAAAAAAAAAAAGCCACAAAACCGATTATATGTCTAAAGATAGAAATGACTTGATTGTAATAGTAGGAGCTAGAAGAGAAACTCAAGCTAAAAGGACTACTAAGGATGGGAGGCTTAGCATCTTCCTTCCCAAAGGGAAACAGAGAAAATAGTCAAGGACACTGGGTGTTAGCTAAAATTTCCAGGTATATCTGTTACTCATTAGCGATGTATTTCATATGACAGTTTACCTGCCAGCCACTGTATTCAATGAAGTATGAGCACCACCGTCAGGACACCTGAAGGTGATCATTGTTCAAGTATTGATACAGTTCCTACTGACATGCCAACTTACAACTTGGGGCCAACTGTTTACATCAGTTCTGAAAGGTATTTATACAAGGAATAAATAGTGATTTTGTGTGTATATGAGTGTGTATAAGTGTGTGTGTGTGTGTGTGTGTGTGTGTGTGAGTGTGTGTTAGATTGATGATAGGTGCTATGCAAGATTAGAGTTAAGTTTTAAATCATAAATTAATTGAAAGCAGGAGTGAATAAATTCTTATTTTTAGAAAGAAAATTACTTTCTAAATAAAAAAACATAAAGTAAATGGAAATTAATTTGACTTGACTATGTAAAACATTTCCCGAAAGTGTTCAAAGGATATTCAAATAATGGGGAAAGGGATGGAATTATTTATAACATATATACAAAAAGATTAAAAATTTAATGTATAAGAAACAAAACGGACCCTCTAATTAAAGTCAAAATTGATGAAAATTAAAATGATTATATGTGAGAATTAGAAATGTTTATCCTATAAAAACTGGAGAAACTGAAGAAAAAGAAAGGTTTCTCCTAACCACCCTTCAGTCCAATTTTACTTTCTGATTACATGAAATGCATATCTTGAATCCCAGCACTTGGGAGACAGAGGTAGGATCTCTGTGAGTTCAAGGCTGGCCTGAGTTCCAGAACAGCCAGGACTACATAGACCCTGTCTCAAAAAGATGAACAGACTGATATTAGAAAGATGGATAAATTAGATGAATGAATGAATGAATACTGAAGAAAAGGTAATATAAATAAAATATTCCATGCAATTATTTCATATGCTTTTTCAGTAATTAAGCATGTTTCTGTTGATAAATTTGCTTTAATAAAGTACATAGTTGTTGAGATTGCATACTGGAAAACAATTTATAAGATATAATTAGGTAATATTTATCAACAGTTTAGCAGTATTTATACCCTGTGACACTTTAGTCCTACCTCAGGAATTTATGCTACGGAAATAATAAGCATAAACTACAAAAAGATTTCCATCTTCTAACTTTGGAAATTCCAACAATAAATTCTAAATTGGATATATACAACAGAGATAATGTTTTAACTCTGTAACTGTCTCTACATCTCACTGGGAGACCTAATGAACAAAAGAGCAAGAGGAAGGCCCAAAGGGTAGTTTGCTAAGCAAGCATAAGGACCTAAGCTCAGATCCCAGCTTGGGGTTACAGCCTTGGCCTGTAACCCCAGCACTGGCCCAGCAAAGACAGAAAGATCCTTGAAACTCATTGGTGGGCCAGCCAGTCTAGCCAGTTTGCAAACTTCAGACTCAGGGAGATCCCAGCTCAAAAGTTATGTGTGTTGTAGATGATGGCACACACCTTTAATCCCAGCACTAGGGAGGCAAAGGCAAGTGGTTCTCTGTGAATTTCTGGCCAGTCTGGTTGACATAGTGTGCTCCAGGACAGCAAGGAGTGCAAAGAAAGGATCTGTCTCAATAATAATAATAATAATAAATTACAGTGGAGGGCAACAGAGGAAAACATTGTCAACCTCTGGGACTTTCATACACAAGCACACATATGAGTGTTCTCTCTTCCTAACTCCCTCCCTTCCTCCTTTTCTCTCTCCTCTCCTTCCCTCCCTCCCTCCTTCTCTGTCTCTGTCTCTCTCTCTCCTCACCCCCCACCCCTTTATCACTAAGGCAAGAGAACTGCTTTGAGTTTGAGGTCAGTCTGAGCTACCTAGTGAGTTGCAGGCAAGCCTGGGCTACAGAGACCCCGTCTCACAATGTGGAGACAACCCCTTCCTCACATCAGAAATGTTTTCTCTAAGCTTTCTTCACAGGTCTCAGTGTTCCAATCATTCTATAGCATTACTTTAGTAAGCAGGAATAATAAACATTATAAAAATAGAAACACACATATTTTCAAAGGACCGACAGTCATGGAGCAGAATCTCACTGGTAAGGAATGCATATGGATTTGTGAAGTAGGAGGTGCAGCGCTGAGAATGGATGCAGCTTGGGTGTTTCTTTGAGAAGGAATTTCCCCCCCCCCCCAAGGATCTACCACCCCCTTTGCCTGTATTCAGGCTCCTCCTGACCAAGTTCCTTACAGCCTTAAAGGCTAGATTCCCTCAGGCTTTTCTAAGTCTAAAGTTCGTAGAGTTTTTAACTTACTTAACTATGGTTAATGTCTCTTCATTGTTTGGATGTGTGCTTCAAAAGCCAGTCCCTTGAGTCCCTTGAATAAATGTCATTAGGAAGATCAAATCAATTTCTTCATCAAATTAAACAAATGCATTTCAAATTTCACCATGGTAGAACTTTGAATCCAGGTGGCTTTTCATTTTTAGAGAATATTCCTCTTCCTGGATTTCTCTCTGAGCATTTGCACTGTGAAGACATTGTCACAGATAAGAAATCAAATTAATTTTCTAAGGCCTAATGTGGCCCCAATTCTACCCATATCTAAAATGCAGGCACTTCCTTTTTATTAACCTACTTTTTTTTTTTTTTTTTTTTTTTTTGAATGAAACTCCAGAGAGCAGCTGCTAAGGTTAATTACATATAGTGGAGAACTAGCCATGTGACCTTCTGCAGGGAACTACAGATTTCATAGCCTCCTTTCTTCTCCACTGGCATGGAGGCAGGACTGGGATGCTGCTTGGAGATCTGTCAGTTCTGAAATCCCAGACCTTTGTTGGAATTCCTGCATTTGACCTTTCTGAGAGTGAAGAGCTCAAGATTTTCAGGAACTCACAAAAAAAGCCTTTTGGACCCAGTGGAATGAAGGTGTGTGGAAATGGTCACAGGAGGAGGCTAAGGTAGCCTGGTCCAAATCATGTGGGTCACACCAGCCAAGGGAAGGGAAGTGACCAAATGGGTTAGCTCGAGGAAGTGAGTTCTTTACACAAGACATTTGTATTCCTTCATTACCAAGATATTTGTCTTAATGTGGTTTTGTTGGTAGTGTTTAAAAAGATGGTTCAAGGTGCTGGGACATACCATGGTGCTTGTCTAGCCTTTCCAAAGCCCTGGGTTCAACCCCAACACCAAACTATACAAACAAATGAATGACATAAAGATTAGGAGGACAAAATGACAGACTGTAGTGAAGCAAGCACAAAGAACCAGTTTCCTCTCATTGCCAGCTGCCATGTATCATTTCAGAAATGTTCTAGAAATAGGAACAATTACATGTGTTTTCTTTTGCTTTGTCACAACTGGTAACATAGTATACGTTCTTCTGTGCCTGTTGTTTTTAATTAATGTCACAATATATCTTGATGCTCACCAGTCACCTTTTGATAAACAGTCTTTTCTGTTACAATAAAATTGTTACTCCCAAGATTATTTTTACTGTATGACCCTGTTAGAGCACTTGGAAGTTTCCAGAGATTTCACTCTGGTCACATCCCCTGCCTTTTATCCTTGGAAAAAGTTAAGTCCCCAAAACACACACAGCTTTTCAAGGTTTCATGGCTATTTGAGGCAAGGCTGGGACTAGAATTTGTTTCTCCTAACCACCCTTCAGTTCAATTTTACTTTCTGATTATATGAAATTATACATGTTGTAATTAAAAATGCTGTCTTGAGTGGTATGCATTCTGTAACCCATTCTTTTTTTTTTTTTTTTTAGTTTTCTTAGACTAGCGTGTATGCTGTGCAGAGATCAGTTTAGAGGGTCGTGCACAAAGATGCTAACAGTGCTCATCTTCAGATTATTACATCAGTATAGGAAATCTTTGTACCTTGTGTGTGCGGAGGGGTTCTCATGTTTGGACATATGCATACAGGTTCATGTACTGCACGTGGAACCCAGGGCCTCGGACGTGCAGGGCTAGCACTCAATAACAGAACTACACACCCTCCCCAGCCCTGACTTTTTATGACAAGAACTTGTTATGACGAGGACTAACTATGTAGCCTTGGCTGGCCTACAATTCACCAAGTTGGCCTCAAACTCACAGCTTCCCAAGGCTGGGATTAAAGGCATGTACCTCCATGCCCCGCCCCAAACCCTCCTTTCTTTTTTTTTTTTTTTTTTTTTTTTTTTTTTTTTTTTTTTTTTTTTTTTGAGTCAGGGTTTCTCTGTGTAGCCGTGGCTGTCCTGGACTCACTTTGTAGGCCGGGCCGGGCTGGGCTTAAACGCACAGGGATCTGTCTGCTCTGCCTCCCTGAGTGCTCAGATTATAGGCAAGTGCCACCATGGCTTACTTCCCACTTTTTAATAGAAACAGGCATTGTGAGCTTCCTGACACAGCTGCTGGAAATCTAGCTCCAGTTCTCTGGGAGAGCCATATATGCTCTTAACCACGGAACCATCTTTTCGTAAAGTACACATAACCTATTTCAAGTGTACAATTTAAAGGTTTCTTTCAATGACTTGCTCAATATAACTGCAGATCAACTTTAAACTGTCTCTTTGCCTCAAAATGAAGCCCTGTATAAAGCAACAGTCTCTTCCTATATACTTTTATTCTTGGTTTATATTTTTAATTTTTTTCACAATAGTAGTTAGTCATATGAATAGACAAAGTTAGTGACAATAATGTAATATGAACTTTAAAAATAAATATAGGAAAAAAGTACTCCTCTTTAAAATTGTTTTATTTTGTATGTATGGGTGTTTTCTCTTCGAGTATGTCTATATTTCTCATGCCTGCAGTGCCTGCAGAGGCCAAAAGAGGGTATCAGATTCCCCTGGAACTGGCATTTAGTTGGTTGTAATGGAGCCATGTGGGTGCTGGGGATCAAACCTGGGTTCCCTGGAAAAGGAGCCAGGGATCTAAATCACTGAGCCATCTCTTCAGCCGCAGAGAAAAGTATTTCAAAGAAGGTAAGATTATTTTTCTCTGTACAATATAAGTAAATATTCAGGATAATTTTACCTGGGTTTTCTGTAATATGTTAATTAATATTCACATATTATGTATAAGATCACGTAGTTTCTCTTACCTTTTTGACCCTATTTGTGGTATGTTTCCAAGTCATTAGGTATTCTTTGAGAGTATGACTAAGATCTGTGGCTATACAAAACTTTTGAGTACATCTCATTATTTCTTTAGGATAGAATCCCAAGAGCACAAATCCTGAAGATATTTCTAATTTGCTAAGTATCTGATTCCTTTCCATTAATGTGTCTGTCCCACAACACATTATTTTTGTTTTGTTTTGTTTTTGCTTGTTTGTTTTTTCCCCCCTTTTGACTCAGGGTCTCACTCTATAGCCCTGGCTGGCTTGTTAGTCACTATATAGAAAAGGCTGGACTGAAAACTGACAATGATCTTTCTGCCTCTGACTGCCAAATGCTGGAACTACAGGTGTCTTCCACCATGCTTTTACTGCTGTCCCCAACCCTGGCATATCCTTGTCAATTGGGACCTTTTAAAGTTAACTCTTTTGAACTGAGTGCTGTTTGTAGCAGAGTTGTGCAGCACCCTTCATGCCACACATGAAGCCTGAGATGCAATCCCCAGCACCACACACATCCAGTTTCAATTCATTTGATTGTTATTAATGATGCTAGACTTTTTTTTTCTTGCTAAATAAGAACAAGGTAGAACCTTTAAATATTAGTATGGTTCTCCGCCCTCAGAGTGGGACCAGTCACCTTCTTTGGAGAAGTATTTTCTACTACGTTGATGAAACTTCAAGGAATAGGAAAAAGATCCTTACATTTGGATAAAGTTCCTTACATTTGGACAAAGCAACCCTATGCTTATGTCATTGCAAATTCCTAAAAATAATATCTGCTACCAATAATAGAAAGAATGATTTATGTATTAAATAATTAATGTATTAAATGATCTTTGATTTTCCTAAGTAACTAGATAATTTGTATTATAGTCAGCCACCTTGGGAATGAGGGAGCGGGATACAGCTGGGATACAGAGTTAATAAAATGTAACTAATAATAAAAAAATAAAAAATAAAAAAACCAGTCACCTCTATAGAAGAAATAGAAATAGAAAATGTACCAATTCCCTTTCCTCTGTGACACTCTGAGTTTTTAAACCGATGGGTGGGTTGCTTCAGTTCCTCCTAGAAGCCCAAAAACAGCACAGGAACTCTAGCGTCTAACACGGGGACCCAATCAGGAATGAAGGGAGCAAATGTCCCTCTCTTTAACAGCTGAAGATGGTACCGACCTGTAAGAAGCTAGAGGCTCAAGAGGTGGACTCTGAAAGCATCTAATTCTTCATATAGCGGAGAAGAGGCAGGGTGGGAAAGGAATGCCTGCACAGCAAGGGGGTAGCAGGGATAGTTCTGCCTATTTGGTGAAAAGGGAAAGAAAAAATAATTACTAAAGAAAATGACTGTCCAGAAATCCCCCCCCCACACACACACACACCTGTGTTCCAGAGGAGAAGCTGCCTCTATGTTCAGAAGGACGTGTGATCCTTGTTGACAAATTAAGTATAGATCTGTTGACGAGTCAGGTGTTCACCAGTTTCCCACAGAACCTGGGGTACACATCCCTCAGCTCCGAGCACCTGAGATTGGAGGCAGGGGGATGAGGAGCCCAAAGCCTTCTTTCCTAGCTACATAGCTAGTTGGAGGCTCCCTGGGCTATGTGAGATTCTGTCTCAGAAACCATTAAAATGAGAGGATTCTCCACAAAGAATCATCTGCTTCCATGTGGCTGGGCGTTGGTAACAGTACTCAGAACAGTTTTAATCAGAGGCTTGATTTTCAGAATAAAGCAAAAACTGCATCTTTATCACCACTATGAGACCTTTGGAGTCAAATAATGAAAATTATTTAAGACTAATAGAACCTCCACCTTTTTTTTTTTTTTTTTTCAAGAATTTGATGATCAGAAAAGAAGAAGCTGGGTATGGTGGTTTAAGTCTTATCCCGGCAGACTTGAGTGGATCTCTGTGAGTTCAAGTCCAGGCTGATCTACATAAGAATACTAGCCAGGGCTACATAATGAGACCCTGTCTCAGAAAAAGAAAGGAAAAGAAAAAAAAAAATGGCAGTGCTTCTGTTTAATAAAAGTTTCAAACACACACATTCTAAACATAGAAATAGAATAATATTGGTGTTAAATCAAGCTTCCCTAAACTGAAATGATGTTTCATATGAAAGTAAACGGATTACTGGAATGTACAAATGCACTAAGTATTAAGATCAAGCATTAAAAACCTGAGAAATCCTGAAGCAGTGTGTAGGTCACATTGACTCACCTTGTCCTATCTAAGTCAAGCAGGGGATCCAGTTTGCTGGTGACCTAAGATGTGCCTGAAACCAGGTGGTATGTGAAATGTGGTTGCATGTGCCCAGAAACAGGATGTTAGAGATGTTGCAGGTGCGGTCGCAGCAGAGAGGGACACTTGCGTGAGATGTTCAGGTTCAAGTATCCCAAGACAAAGAATAGCAGGAGTACATGGTGAATACCAGGGGGAAAAAAGTTTATTAAAAAAAAGAAAGAGAGAGAGAGAGAGAAAGAAAGAAGGAAAGAAAGGAAGGAAGGGAGGGAGGGAGGGAAGGAGGGAGGAAGAAAAGAAAGAAAGAAGATACTCCAGAGGATGAAAGTGAGCTGGTGAAACTGGGGAAAGACAGTTCAAAAAGAACTGGACCAGGAGTTACAAGACCCTTTGTAGGTCATTTCCACAGCACCCACCTCCTTTCCCTTCTGTTTATCTCTGCCCTTTCTTATACAGGTAGCACAGGTGGAGAGGAACCTCCAGTCTGTTTTTGTTGACTTAGGTCTCTCATATTTTAATTCTGACATCGCAGTTCGCATCCCCATCCTGCTTATGCAAGAAGCTGGGAGATGACAGCAAGGCAGTACAACACTCCTGGCCACCCCTTACAGTCCCCAGAGAAGATGGGAGAAGCAAAAACTTGAACCCGCTTCAGTGGCTTTCTTGACTTTAATAGACTCACTCAACAAACATTTTTTTTTTAATTAGCTAATAGTTTTCGTTTCTTTCCTTTTTCCTTTTTTTTCTTCCTTCCTTCATCCTTCTCCCCTCCCTTCCTCCTGCTCTCCTTTCTGTATAAATCTGCCTAAGGGTTGTTGTTTTCAAACACAACTTTATGACACGAAGTTAAACACTTTTTGGAAACACTCCCATCCCTACAGTCCTTTCAGGGCAGCTAAGCCAAGGGTCACCTATCACTTCTTGCTGTTTTTCAATCTTTAGATATATCTGATAAGAGTTTAAAATGCTTGTTACTATGGAGTAGTTAAATAGATTCTGTATGATTGCTAATGAAATTTTTTTTAGGGAAGTAAAAAAAAAAGCCCACATTGTTTTGAAAAACATGTTTTAAAAATAATTTTATAGACTGCAGATTTTGTAAATGATCATGTTAATTGTTGAGAGGGGGTTCCCAACCTTGTTAATGTCCCCTTAGCATTAGGCTTTTGTTCCCCAGCCTTGAATATGTCATTTTCTCCCACAGACTGCATTTCTAGGGGTATAATTGCTGTCTCCATGTAAAAGACAACTCATGTGCATAAATTTCCAAGCACTGCAATGAGACTCTGCCTCCCCTCATTTTAATGCAGATGTGATTCAGAGGGTAGGGTTACACTCACTTCCCTGAGCAGATGAAACAGATTACACATTAAATATTGTCTTTGGAACCAGGTGCACAGAAACAACCAATTACCTAGACGGCTCATCACATCCCTGATGTGTTTACCGCATTGTTTTTTTGTTTTCTCTTTAAATATTTGGCGAAATTATTCTGAGGCGTTCATTTTCCCTGCAATGAACAGAATATGCTTTTTTTTAATAAAGGCCCCCTTTGTGTGAGTCAGTCACGGTCGACTCCCAGAAGCCTGGAAAACCACACTTGAAAAGTTTCTGAACTGAACTGAAGTTGCCTCCACCAAGCTTGATTACTACAAAGAGGAGATGGCTCCTGCTTCTTCCTGAGGAAACAGTTGACTCTGAAACCACCGAGAACACGGGGTGTGGAGGAGTGAGTGATGCCTCTGTTCCTCCTTTATGCTGTTTAATTTAATCCACCATAAAGAAGGGCGGTATTCATTTAGATTCTTCAATTTTTGGTCAGCACTAATAAGGTCATCTTCTCCCCCCCCCCCCCCCCCCCCCCCATTTTGAGATGAGGTTTTATTACATAGAACCTCCGCCTCTCCCCTGGCCTGGAACTCACAGACATCCTCCTGCCACTGCCTTCTGAGTGCTGAGATTAAAGGCTGTGCCCTAAACATGCCAGGGCCATGTTGATTTTCTAAGGAAGATTGCTGTTCCTTTGGGTCTTTTGTAAACCTGAAATGCACATGAGCACAAGAGCACACTGCATGACTTGTTTCTGTTTTTCCAGGAGATTTCTACCACTTGTGGCTGTTTTATGCTTCCCCAGTCTTAAGCCTCCCATGGAGTCTGAAGAGCCAGGCTGGTGAGCCACAGAAGCACACCCATCACTGTGCCTTCAAGGCCAGTCTGGTCTACATAGGGAGTTCCCAAACAGCAAGGACTACATAGACTGACCCTGACTTTAAAAGGAGGAAAAGAAAAAAGCAGGTGCCATGGTACACACTGTTAATCCCAGCACTGGCACTTCCAGGACAGGCAGCAGAGCTACGTGGTGAGACCCTGTCTCACAAAAGAGAAAGAGAGATGTGGGGAAGGAGAAAGAAAAGAGGGGATGTGTAAAGGGTCAAAGGTAGGGCAATGTGTATGTGCTGGGAATTATTAGGAGAGTTGTAGGCCGGGAATGTTATGGGGGGACTGACTGCCGAGCAGTGGGCATAGGAAACCGAGAGGTATTATTAGAAGCCCCATAGAAAGGTTTAGTGTGCATGGCTTGGAGGTCAAGCACCTGCTGTTTGGGTGGTTAAGCAGGGCAGATTTGCTCAACATTCTAAGCTCATAAACCCCAGCTTCCTTTGGAAGGTAGATGGAGGCTCTGAAGAAAGGAGAGAGAAAAAAATCCGTAACAGAGGGAAAATAAAACTATTCTATGCATGCAGGTGGGGAGGAAGGGAGAAAAAGAGCAAATTCTGTGTGTGTATGTGTGTGTGTTGTATATGTGCCTGCCTCTGTGTGTTCATGTATGTGTGGGTGGGTGCTGTATACGTGCTTCTGTGTGTGCATGTGTACACATCTCTCTGTGTGTATGTGTGTTATATATGTGCCTCTGTGTGTGCATGTACCTCTCTCTCACTCACTCTCTCTCTCTCTGTGTATGTTGGTTGGTTGATTAAAACTGAACTGAGAGCCTTGGGCTTCACTAGGAAAGAGCACCAACCATGAGCTATGCCCCCAGATTCTGTATTTCTTTTTTATAAAGCATCTCTGAGACACCTCTGAGGAGATAAATCTTTTTAGATGTGAGTGGGAGAGTCTGAAGTGACAAGGAACACTGCATTGCTCTCATGTGTTGTGGCTGATGGAAGGTAGTCCAAGCTCTGTGGAGGGCAACCTTAAGTGTTCTTGCAAAATTATGAATGCACACACGTAGCCTTGTAGCTCTATGCTACAGATATTTAATATCTGTTAAATATAGTTAAGTGTTTACCAATATCTAATTGTAAAATGGCATGTGGGCAAAGTTCTTGTCACAACACTAGACAAAAAAAAAAAACAAAAAACAAAAATATGGAAATGACCTAAAGGTTCATCAGTATGACATGCTCTATCAGTAAATTATGATACATCTGTACACTGACCACTGGAGCAATTGAAAACTGCAAGAAGGAAGTTTGTAACGTATAATACGGGGTGATCTTCTTGATATAGTGGCAAATGAAACAAAAGATGCCTGTGAGGATAAGAGAATACTATGCCACATAATTTCAGCAAAAAAGAAAAAATAGTAAAAGGAAGTACGAGCATCTGTATTGGCTGTTATAACTGAATAGAAATCCCTGGCTATGGGACAGGAGCATAGAAACAACAGAAAGGAAAGGGGATGGCAAGGCATTTTAATGCTTGTTTGAAAATCTTTATTTAATTGGTTTTATGGGGATGAGTGTTTTGCCTGCATGTATGTAAGTGCATCACGTGTGGCCCGGTGCCAGCAGAGGTCAACATCTTTCCTAGAACCAGAGTGTGAGCCGGAATGAGTTTGTGTGCCCCGTGTGTGATTCGGGTGCCTGATTAGGCCAGAAGAGTTGGATGCCCTGGAACTGGAGTTACAGTTGGCCGTGAGCTGCTGTATAGATGCTTGGAACTGAACCCGAGTCCTCCACAAGAAGAGCCAGTGCTCCTAACCGCTGAGCTGTCTCCCTGGGTCCACATTTTAATGTTTTAGCCAAGCTGCAGCCTCTGTGATAAATTAGCTTTTCAAAACTTTAGGAGGCCAGGGAGGCCAGGCCTGGCTTCTTCTAATCCCAGCACTTGGGAGGGTGAGTCTGAGGCAGGACGGTGGCAAGCTCCATGAGCTACAGAGCAAATCCCTCTCCCAGAATCAACAACCAAAATTAAGTGAAGTTAAGCAAAACTTTTTAGAGATTAAAAAAATAAGGGTAATGAAGCTACAGCTGGTTCCATGTTTATGTGACAATTTTCTTATATGTACAATGGAGTAGATAATTCTACCTGCCTCAAGAAGGGTGTGAGGATTCAAAACAGCATCCAACTTCCAGCAGCATGGATAAGTGTCTGGGACATAGTCAGTAAATACATCTGGTTATCATTATTCTTCTGTGTGTGGTGCTGTGAGCCCAGTACTTGCGGAAACAGGAGGATCTGTGGTTTAAGGTCATTCTTGGTTACACAGTGAGTTTGAGGCTCTGTAAGATCCTCGCTCAATGACCAACAACAAAATGATCCCTTCATTTAGTAATTGTGTGGCCTCAGGTTAAAAGAAAAAAAAATTATTCTGATTATCATCATCCTTCTCTCATACATAATGGAGTACATGGAGAAAAGAAGTTGAGAATTATGGGAACTATGAAGGGAGGATGTAGAAGAGGTTATAAAAACAATATTTAGCTCCCAAGAAGTTACTGGGGGGATCTGTATCATTGAACCCTGGGTGTGCCTGGCTCTTCCTTACAGAATTAACAAAGAAGTCTCTCCTGGCTCTCACACCTTGTACTTCTCTTCTGAGGTTCCGGGATGCAAAACAGGGATGCTAATTGGTCTGTCTGCGGTAGGTGCCAGCCTCTGGATGGATCAGCAACAGGCACAAGAGAAATAACGAAGTTCACAGTTTCTACATTAATACAGTAAGGAGCTGCACATCCCAAGTGATAAGGAGTTGACCTGGAAAAACCTAGGAGCAGTTCTCAGCTACAGATATTCTTGTAGTATGTCTGGGTTTTGAGAAAGCAGGAATGGGGTGGTTAGGAAGTGAAGGTGGTATGGACTGTCTTAGCACAGACAGCAAGCTGCGTCGTTTATCCTAGCATCTGCAATAAGGGAAGATGGTGCTCCTTACAGAAATGCAGAGAAGACTCGACTACTGACTACAAACCCAAGAAAACAGAGAAGCAGGCAGACACAACCATGAATGCATGTGCCCCCGTCATCCAGGTGTCTGTGGGTGGGAGCTAGATTATCCCAGGGACCCCCAAAAAAATCTATGCAAGTTTGTAGGAACATGAGAATATATATTTTTCCCAAGGAGATCCATGACCTTTCATCAGCCTGTCAGAGAAGGCTGCACTCCTCCTCAAAAGACTATAAACCCCTGCTGAGCCAATGACCTAAGGTCTATGACTAATGTCACACTGGGAACTTATGGCTGATGCAGTAATAAAACTTTCCTAAAAGCCATCGTAAGGAAATGATGAAAGAAACACTACTCTGCTTACGTCACTGAGGCTACCCTCCAACTTGCCATGTCATCCAGGGCGACCTTTTATTCCTGATCCCCCTCACCTTCACCTCCCAAGCTGGGATTGCGGGCATCGCCAGTGTGTGTGGTTTTATGTGGTAACGAGGATGAGCACCCTGCATGGCGAGATAAGCTCTCTACCAACTGAGCTGCATCCCTAGCCCCTAATTGCTTCCTAAGCAGACTTTGTCGTACTCTTTCTGTTTTGTCATATTCGTGTTTATTGTTTACTGAATATTCTTCCTGAAATGTGTTCACGCTTCCAACTTAAATGCCTACGTTAGCTTCAGCCTAAGCAAAGATTTCTGCGAAATCGGGAGTATATTGTGCTCCTGGCACACTCTCTCTCTCTCTCTCTTTCTCTCTCTTCCCCAATGTACAGAAGAAAAGTGTATTGCAGTGAAATGTGGTGTCCGCTTGTTTCCCAGATCATGCAGCATGCAGAGGTGTGCTTGTGGGGCTTCTGAAAATGGTTCTAGATATTCTAAGCTTGCCATCTGGCACCTATTGTGCAGAGGAGGAACCCAGGCCATTCGGCAATTAATGCACTTATTAAAGAAGCTGAACAAATATGAGGAAAGTTAAGCCCGGTTATGGGCAAGGCTGAATGTGTCCCAGCTCGGCTGTGCTTGCCTGTCTATTCCGTCCTATTGCTTTGCAGACAATTGAAAGCAATTTGAGCTCTCTCTCTCTCTCTCTACCACATGAAAGGAATCAAGTAGACTAAAAACTTGATCGATTTAATACTCTGGTAATGATCCCAGCAATTGAGGAAGGGGTGGGGGCGGGAAGCCAGTGAGTTTCTTTCTACTCAAATTCCATCTCATTTTTATTTTCTCTTAATGTTTTTTTTTTTTTTTTTTTTTTTTGAATCCCAAGTTCCAAAACCTGTCCCCTATTATGCAGTGCAAACGAGAACAGATGGGGAAAAGTTATGTTGGAAAGGGCTTTGGAGGGCCACAGAGAAGAGAAATATGACTACTCAATGTGTCACACACCAACTTGGAGCTGCCACCAGCCCTCCCCCACACGAGCTGCGGATGGAACCAGCCCGTGGAGCTCAGAAGGAGCAGGCGTACTGCAGGAAGGGAGTGCAATTAGAGAACATTCGCTGCGTTTGTGCTGCCTCGAAAATATGAATAAAGAGCGGTGTAGCAGCTCAGCCAACAAAAGAGAACTCAGGCCCAAGGCTGGTCTGCAAAATACTTTGCTGCACCCCAAGCTATCCCACATGTGAACCAGTAATTGGTGCCACGCAGCTTTTCTGCATCAAAGAGATGCCTCTGCATGTCTCAGGGTTGCATTCAGGCCTCTCTGTGTCTAGAACTTGTTTTCAGAGGGTCATACTGGCGCACATGGGTTTCGCAGCCTTCCGGTAAGTATTTTGCTGTTGTCACCGAGTGCTTACGAGTTCCCCAAATATTTCAAGCTCTGTCAATCACAATCTGGCAGAGGCCCCAGGGAGGTCACCCAACTTCTCTGAGCTGGAGATCCCACATACATGTAGCAGAGGTTGCCGGTCTTCTTGCAGGCTTTCGATATTTGGGGCATTGTATGCAAATAACTGACTTGTATGTTGCTCAATTAGTGGCAAATGTTATTACTGTGACGATCAGAAAGCACTGAAATGTTCTCTTTTCTCGATCCAATGTAAGTTGCTAAGAATATATTCTTAGCCATATGTGTATATATACATATATGTATATGCATATATGTATATGGAAATGGCTAAGAAGCTAAGAATTTATGCTCGGAGTAATTACAAGGTTAAGATCATTTCAGGGACTGGAGTATCTCTCCAATGTGCATCACCTCTGGCTCAATACACAGGAACATCCCTACCTACCCCCCAAAGAAAGCGAAAAGGTTCATGTGGTTTAGATTATTTGATTCAAACAGCGAGTGATTAAGGCCATGGAGATGGCATCTATGAAGAAATGCTAATGTCGCCAACAGTTGGGCAATTGACTCCAGCAGGAAACTCTTCCAAAACTGTACCTCTCAGTGTAGAGTGAGTGTGCAAACACGTGGTGTCACTTTGATAAAGGGATGAAATTTCCTTACAGCAGCATTTTAAACGCCGTTAGTTACCCAACCCTGCCTCGGAGTGTATTTTCAGTGTATCTAGAGTAGAGCTGGGAGCCACAGTTAAGATAAAAATGATTTGGCCAGCAAGATGGCTCAGCCGGGTAGCGGTACCTGCCGTCTGAAAACGTAAGTTCGATCCTACTGGGTGGAAAGAGAGAGAGAGATTTGGCTTCTACAGGTTGTTCTCTGATCTCTATACAGGTGCGCGCATGCCCCCAATAAATAAATAAATAAATGTAACTTTAAAAGATTAAGATGACTGGGGTTGGGGTGGCTAAGTGGCCCAGTGGGTAAAGGCACTACTTGTTTTACGGGCCTGAGGACCGTGGAAGGGGAGAACCAACTCAAGTTTGGAAACTGCCCTTTGACCTCCAAATCCAGGCCCTGACACTCTCTTGCCCCATGAATAATAAATAGAATTTAAAATTATTACTTAAAATAAAATGACCAATGAGTGTTTCTTTTTCTCTGGTGGGGGGGTGAGCATTATTGTGAAGGTCTTGCTAGAGCCCAAGTTGGCCTCATGCCAGCAACCCTCCCGCTTGAGAAATATTAGGATTACAGGCATGCGCCCAGCTTGATGTGTGCCTATTCAGCCACTGATGTGTGGACTCCACTTTTCCAAGGAATGGGACAATGAGCATTCTAGATTCCTGGTCTTCCTACCTTCCTACCTTTGCCACACACAACCAGGCTTGCCAATGTAGAGACAAAGAGACCAGGGTCTGACAGGCAGAGCTTCTGTTCCTTGCAACCTCAGTTCTCTTGTTTTGCAGTGTTCAGTTAGGATGGACTCTTAGCAGCCTCCTAGTCCACTATAGACATTAACTTCATCCGAGTTTGTCCGGAGAAGAGAGCCATGCATCCTGGTATGCCCACCATGGTCATTTAAAATGTTCCCTTCCTTTCCCCAAGTGCTCCAGCATGGATGAATTACATCATTATTCTAGGCCTGGAGGACACCTAATGAGCGTACACAGGATGTGAATGAAGACTGGCAGAACTTTTAAGATGTGCTGTCGTAGTGCGGGGAAGATAAGTCGAAACACCACTGGCAATAGCCACGAGTTTCTCTGGGCTAAAGTGACACAGGAATGATCGGAGAAAATTATACTCTTGCAATGTATTCCATAAATTGAAATCAAGATTCCAGGGCATGGAAACCCTGAGAAATAAAGAATCATTAATGTCCATTCTCTCACTCAGTGCTAAACAACAAAAAAACAGCAGCAAGAAAATATGATCCTGGCACCTACATGATCATTTTCCTTATTTCTGTCACTGCCTGTCATCTTGAGCAAACTATTTAAAATCTTTGAATCTCACCTTACTCATGGGTAAGACTGCTTGATAGCTCACAGCTATAATCTCTGAAACTCAGAGACTGAGGGGGCAGAAAGATTATGGGTTCAAGGCCAGCTGAGTTATATACCACCCCATAGCAAATCCTTGTCTCACAAACAAGTTAGCATTGCTTCTTTTAGTCATAGGGAGTTGAAGAGCTTAACACTGTGGCTGGGTGCCTAGTAATGGCATCTTTGACTTCCACAGTGGCCACTGTGCTGCCAAGGGCATATGAGTTTAATACAGGGGAGCTCCCAAAGACACTGTGAAAGATTCTCTCTCTCTCTCTCTCTCTCTCTCTCTCTATCTATCTCTATCTCTCTGTGTGTGTGTGTGTGTGTTCCTCTCCTCCCTCTCCCTCCCTCATCTCTCTCTCCTCCCTTCTCTCTAAATTCTGGGTCTAAAGCCCCCCACATACACACACACATCTGTCTCTTGTACTCAGAAAACTCAAAATCATAAATGGTTTGTGAATGGAAGAGAGAGAGAAAAAAAGAAAGACTAAAGGGACGAGAAATGATTAAGACTGATCAGAAATGGCATAAGTATGGTATTACATGATAAAACTGAAATCGGACAGGAGAGGGTGGGAGGGTCAAAGAAGATGCCAAGCCGTGCTCTTTAGGAGGCAACACCTGGTTTGGTGTCTCATGGCTTCCTTAAAGGTCTTGCTGTGCTCTGAGGTGGGGGAAGGGAAGTCCTAAGGAAAGAACAGTGTTGTTCATGTAACTGCTGCCTCTCCAGACTGCTGTTTGGGTGGGCGGGATGGAGAAATACTATTCTGTTAGAGTGAGGAGCTTTGAAGTGGAGACAAACACAATCTGGTAGAATTACAGAGGCAGTATTCACCCTGATGACTCACTCCCTGGCTCCCACACAGCAGAGACAAGAGGTAACATTAGTGACCTTGAAGATGCTGGCTGATTATACAGAAGCCCTGAGGCTCAATTTATCAGATGAGCATGGGTGTGTGTGTGTGTGTGTGTGAGAGAGAGAGAGAGAGAGAGAGAGAGAGAGAATGGTAAAGACCAGGAGAGTAGAGGAAGACATGTTAGAGCAGGAATGCACAGTGAAAAATTTTTAATAGCTAGCACAAAATCCTATTAATATGGAAACAGCTAACTCAACTGAATGACAGGTACAAGGAGTTTACCATTATGAACAGGTCTCTGTTCAAAGCATTGAGAAGGCAGTTGGGTGTGGGAACATTTAGAATAACCCCTCTTAGCTGGGAGGTGAATGTAGAAGCAGTCCCTTTACCTGAGGGCACATCCCTCAGGAAGTTCATCAGCACTTCCAGAGCACACTTTGCTGAATGTAACTATTCCCTCGTTCCAAGCCACATATAGCTCCGAGTTCAGAGTCCTACAGACAACATTCAAACAGATGCAGTCGCCAGGCCTTTGACAACGTGCAATAGAAAGCAGACAGCAATAAAAGGGCATGCCAGGACCTGCAGATGTGCAGCAGCTGTACAATGGCTGCCAGTCATGGCCTTAAACCAGCTGGCCCCTGTGTGCTACTAAAACATTTTAGACATGGAATCCAGCCAGTTTTAGGTTGAATATATATATATATTCAAATTCTAACTCTAATTCTTAGAACTGCACACGCAAGCCTCAAAGACAAAATAGAGAGCAAACTGGGGAGTCCTTCAAAGCTGATTAGGAAAAGAAGGCTTGAAGAGCCCTGTGAGAGTACCAGGAAGAGGGCAGAGTAGAGCAGAGTAAAGGTAGACCCGAGACCCCCAGGCTCATTCAGTGTGTTCCTCATGCAAGCGTCCAAGGGTTTTAGAGTTGTGTTTTGGGTTGTATTTGTCCCTCAGTGTTTTTACTATATTGAAAGTGCTTATTTTTATGGATACATATTATACTTACAGCAAGAAAGGTGCGTGGTTTGCCTAGAATACATAGCTACAGTTAAAACCAACACACAATCAAAAGGTCTTTAAGGATATTTTTTTCCCTCCCTCAAAATGATATAAGAAAGAAAGAGGCTTTATAATTACAAGGAAACCTGTGTTCTCCAGTTACTCAGAACAGAAAAGTAGGAGGTTCTCACCCTCTCGGGCTCCTGATGCTCGTCCTTGGTCAGTTTCTGTAGTCGTTTGGCTTCATTCTTTCCTCCTTCACCTGCTGTGGGCACAGCTCACAAGGGCACCCAACACAGCTGCCAAAATAGCCCCGCATTCACATTTAACCACTCCTAAACCCAGTCCTAATTCCTCAAAACACTAAGGCTGGTTTGGGTTGTGCCAGGAAGCCACCTCTGAAAAAATTAACTGGAGCCATGGGTCCCATGTGTTAACCCCTGTCACACCGTGTTTGCTTAGGCATGTGAGTGAGGAGGGTGGGGTGGGGCAGCTTAAGAAGTTTTGTCTGCCCAAGATGATTTTGGAGACAAGAGGGTCTATAAACCCCCCCCCCACACACACACACAGGCACACATATGCACACAAGCACACACATGTGTCTACACATGGCCTGAAATTTGATGAGTCTGAAATGCAGACAACTTAACTAAACCCATATTGACTGTACTGGCCGTGTGCCACGCCAAGTGCCCCGCAATGTGCTGGGGATGCTTGTGTGAATGGAGCAGATGGTACCATTGCCTTCAGGAGGCTTGCGTTCTGTACTGGTGGATTCAGTGACTCGGCAAGGTGGCCTGACAGTGTTAAGAGCTCTCGATGCTCTTCCAGTGGACCCGGGAGGCAAGTTCAGCTCCCAGCTCCCATCTTGGGTGGCTCACAACTGCCTGTAACTCCAGCTCCAGGGCATCTGATACATTATATGCTGTAACTATGAAACTGATAAAGACTGTTTTAGTAATTTATCTAAGGTCACACAAACACTAAATTAAGGAAACTTCTTTGTTTGTTTGTCTGTTTTGTTTTTGTTTTTGTTTTTTTGAGACAGGGTTTCTCCGTGTGGCCCTGGCTGTCCTAGTACCCACACTGTAGACCAGTCTAGCCTTGAACTCACAGAGGTTTCCCCTGCCTCTGCATCCCGAGGGCTGGGATTAAAGGTGTGTGCCTCCACCACCTAGCCAGAAAACCCCTTTGTTTGTTTGGTTGGTTGTTTGTTTGTTTAAATCTGTGTGAAAAGATGCCTAGATGAATTCAAATGCTCCAGGTAGATCCAGGTGCCCGAAGAGGCAGGAAGAGGATTCGGGATTTTCTGGAACTAGACATACACGCAGCTGTGAGCCACCTGCTGTGCCTGTGCTAGGAACCAAGCTAGGGTTTTCTATAGGAGTTTATGCTCTTCCCTCTTACCTGAGCCATTACTCCAGCCCTTGAGAAGGGGGTGGGGTGATGGGGGTAGCGTTACAACCCGGTCTTAAGTAGCAAGGACTTACTAAATACACAGAGAGCTGCCTTCACCTCCTAAGCGTTGGGATTACAGCCATGCGCTATCACACTGGCTTAAATAAAGCAATCCTGTGGCTAGACTCATCATGTGGCCCAGACTGGCCTTGAACTCTCAATATTCCTCCCTCAACTTCTCAAGTGCTGAGGTTGCAGGTATGAGCCACTGTACCTGGCCTTTGAACCTAAGTTTTTAATTACCATCAAGTACTGCCTGGAGCCCAGGGGCTTAGAAAGAGGCCCAGATTTCCTAAAGCACGAGAGCCTTCTAATTAAAAGCAGTCCCCAAGGTCATTACTAGGAGACCTGACCAGACAGACGTGGCTCACAGGGAGTTAGGGTGATTCTAAGTGTGTCTTGCCTTCTGTTTTCAAAGGGACCTGAAGATCATGGAAGGGTGCTCTGCAGTAGGTCTAAGTGCCTCGTAAGAGACGGTCTGATGTGCCTGGACTCACGAGAAAACTAGATGGCAGTGACTCTTGGTACCACTCCCCCCCCAACAATGTAATAGACAGATATTCCTGAGGCATTTTGGAATATCATTTTTGACAGGGGTTGGGAAAATTGTCTTCATTTGCCTTCAGACAGGAAATGTGCGGCAGCTGGGGCACAGGTGACTACTTCAGAGTGGAGCCTGGACGCTAAAGGCAAGAGAAGGCGTCAATACAAACAGAATTTAGATTTGACCAATACAGAAGGAAGAGGACAAATCATAAGTTCCA